ACCCCTTGCCCGCACTCCCCCCCCCCCACGGGGTTTACATTGATAGGTGCATAAGTCTTCTGGACAGGAATGATATCTTTCAGGGGGTGGCAATCCGTTGATATTAATTTCTTTAAAATGTTTCGGTCTTGTTTATTTAAAAGGTTCTTGATAAAAACTGGACATGAAATAAAACGGCGTTTATGGCATCGATCTAAAAAATTCTGTATAACTGTAAGATCGGACTCCGATGCCCCGTAGACTGAAAGCGCATGGCTAAAATTAGGTAAAACAATAGATATAAAAAGGTGATCTATCTCTGCCTGAAAGTAGTGTTCCTTTCTTATTGTTCGTAGGACGTGTAAACACTTGTTTGCCTTGACAAGCTTGGTTCTTACATGCTCATTGAATTTCCCGTCACTCTGTAGAGTTACTCCTAGTAAAACGAAGCTATTACATTGAGGAATATTGTTAATTGGAGAGTAAAGTACTTTGTGATTTTTCTTTCTAACAACCAGCTCTTTACATTTACAAGGGTTGCAGACCATTTTATTGTCTTTACACCAGGTTAAGAACTGTCCTACTAAGTCGGCAGACGGGTCGCGATTCCTAGTGGGAATCATCGGCATATTTAAAAAGAACAGGGCAACCATTAAAGAAAATCTCCAAGTCATTCAAAAATATATTAAAAAGATACGGTCCGCTTACACTACCTTGTGTGGTTCCTCTATTGACAGATTTCCTATGTCCTAAAAAATTATAGCTAGCAACACGTTGTTGTCTTGCATAGAGGAAACTCTGATACCAATTGATGATGTACGGATTTAGGGGTAGCTTTTTCAGTTTGGCAGACAAAATAGTATGATTCACAAAATCGAAGTCCTTACTGAAGTCCATAGTAAACATTCGCACTGCGCTACAGTCACTACTGTTTAAATACTTGTATGTCTGGTGCTGGATAGCGAGCAAAGCATTTGTGCAATTTGGGTGTGGCTCAGATTGTTCTCAGTGACTGACTGTGCTTGCGTACGATACACGACCTTCTCAAACAACCGCGCGATAACGGCAGTAACATTGATACCACGGTAGTCTGAGTCCTCTAAAGACATGCCACTTTGGGGAGAGGATTAACATTTTCCCTCTTCCAAGAGTCCGGCCATGTATGAGTAGACAGAGATAAATTCCAAACGTGATTAACGACAGGTGTGAGTAGCTCAGAACAGTCTTTCCAGATCCAGCACGGGAGGTTATCTGGTCCTGTTGCCGTTTTCTTTACATGAACTAAAGTGTTCCACACACACCGCTCAGATATTTCCGGGGGCTTTACACTGTCCGGGATATCCATATCAATAGGTCTGACGTAGCTGTCATCATAGCACAGGTTGGCGAAGTAGTCGTTCAGACGAACGAGAGAGTTGTTGTCCAAATTTATCGACGATGACCTGCGACGCTGCGATAGGGCGTCCACGCCCTTCCACCAATCACCGCTACCAATGACAGCCGGTTTTCTTCTG